GGCAGATAGGGAAAACCCCCCAATCACATGGTAGGTTTTCCAGGGCCATTGCTCCCTGAAACCTCTCTGAAGGGGCCAGGTTTTGGCTCATGGTCCCTGGTAGGTCTGAACTCCATAGCTAATGTCCCGGTCTAATATAACATATATTAGCCCAATAAGCTCCAGGGAGCCTCTGGGGCTCAACCAGAAAATGGCGTTTCATTACATTCTATGTTGGTTTTTTACCTTCATGCCTCATTGCATCACATGACTTTTAGTACAACTCTCATATGCTACATAATAATTCCACAGCACCTGCTTGTATAATTAATAAAAAATGTGCTTCAGTTATTGACAGCTCTGTTTTTATATATAAATTCTTTTGACTTGAATATAAAAATAAACTAATACAGTAGTAGATATGCACCTTGTTTCACTCATATTTTAGATTCATTATGATTTAATTTAATTTGAATTGCTATTCAGTGAGAAATAGCTTTACATTGATTATCAGAAAATATGTAAATGTTACAATATCTGATTTTGACATTGTGCTGTGCTTATTATTTTAAGTTATTTATCACTGATATTTGTATAGTTACAGTATTATTAAAAACAAGAAACACAAATGTAATACCAAAATATATGGAACATTTATAACCTCTGCACTGCATTAAAGGCTCATTTTTGGGAGTGCTGTAGATTATTGTAGTGAGTTTTAGGTGTGTGTAATTTCCTAAGTGTAATTACCTAAGTGTAGTTACAGGATGAGATCTATGCTCGTGGTGTCCCGTCTTCCCAGCACTCTGTCATATAACGCTTTGAAACTACTGATGGTCTTGGCCTCCACCACCTTCTCACCTAACTTGTTCCAACCGTCTACCACTCTGTTTGCGAAAGTGAATTTTCTTATATTTCTTCGGCATCTGTGTTTAGCTAGTTTAAATCTGTGATGACCTCTTGTTCGTAAAGTTCCAGGTCTCGGGAAATCTTCCCCATCGATTTTATCAATTCCTGTTACTATTTTGTATGTAGTGATCATATCACCTCTTTTTCCACTGTCTTCTAGTTTTGGCATATTTAATGCTTCTAACCTCTCCTCGTAGCTCTTGCCCTTCAGTTCTGGGAGCCACTTAGTAAATACGCATGTCTTTTCCCCTTTTCCAGTTTGTTGATGTGCTTCTTAAGATATGGGCACCACACAACCGCTGCATATTCTAGCTTTGGCCTAACAAAAGTCGTGAACAATTTCTTTAGTATATCGCCATCCATGTATTTAAAAGCAATTCTGAAGTTAGAAAGCGTGGCATAGGCTCCTCGCACAATATTCTTTGTCGTCCTCCGGTGATAGTTTTCTACCTAGAACCACCCCTAGATCTTTCTTCATCAGTATTCTTTAAAGATTTCTCACATAATATATAGGTTGTGTGGGGTCTATGTTCTCCTATTCCACATTCCATAACATGGCATTTATTAACATTAAATTCCAATTGCCAAGTGGTGCTCCATATACTTATTTTGTCCAGGTCATCTTGAAGGGCATGACAATCATCTAAGTTTCTTATCCTTCCTATTATCTTAGCATCATCAGCAAACATGTTCATATAATTCTGTATACCAACTGGTAGATCATTTATGTAGACAATAAACATCACTGGTGCAAGAACTGAACCCTGTGGTACTCCACTTGTGACATTTCTCCAGTATGATACATTCTCTGATCACTGCCCTCATTTTTCTATCAGTCAGGAAATTTTTCATCAATGTTAGAAGCTTACCTGTCACCCCTACAATATTTTCCAATTTCCAGAACAACCTCTTATGTGGAACTGCGTCGAAAGCCTTTTTTAGGTCCAGATAGATGCAGTCAACCCAACCATCTCTTTCCTGTAATATATCTGTTGCTCGATCATAGAAACTGAGTAAATTCGATACACAGGATCTTCCAGATCGAAAACCATACTGTCTGTCTGATTTTATATCATTTCTCTCCAGGTGTTCTACCCATTTAGTTTTAATTATTTTTCCCATATTTTGACTATTACACTTATCAATGATACAGGTCTATAATTAAGGGGGTCTTCCCTGCTTCCACTTTTGTAGATTGGAACTATGTTAGTTTTTTTCCACACATCAGCTACAACTCCTGTAAACAGGGATGCCTGAAAAATCAGTTGAAGTGGAATGCTGAGCTCAGGTGCACATTCTCTCAGAACCCATGGTGAAACTCCATCTGGACCAACTGCTTTGTTCTTATTTAGCTCCTTGAGCATTTTTTCCACTTCGTCTCTAGACACCTCTATGTGCTCTATGTTGTTCTCTGGAATTCTTATTGTATCTGGTTCCCTGAAAATTTCATTTTGTACAAACACACTTTGGAACTTTTCATTTATTGTTTCACACATTTCATTTTCATTTTCCGTGAATCTATTTCCCATTTTCAACCTCTGAATATTATCCTTTACCTGCAATTTGTTGTTTATGAATTTATAGAAAAGACTTGGTTCTGTTTTACATTTGTCTGCAATTCCTTTTTCAAAATTTCTTTCTGCCTCTCTCCTCACTGCCGTGTAGTTGTTTCTTGCATCTTTGTATCGCTGGTATGTTTGGGGGTTTGGCCTCTTCCTGTATTGATTCCATTTTTGTGTCTTTTGGTCTCTGGCCCTCTTGCAATTTCTGTTGAACCAATCCTGTTTCCTAGTTCTGCATCTCTGTTTTGGTATAAATATTTTTGTGCCTTTATCATATATTTCACAAAACTTGACATACATCTCATTCACTTCCTTGCCTAGCAACAAGTCTGTCCAATTATACTCACTAAATTTTTTTTTAAGGTTGCCATAATGTCCTCTCCTAAAGTCAGGTTTTTAAATTGAATCAACCTTCTTATTTTCTTCCAGATTATAACGTATTGCATACTTTATTCCCAAAAAAGACATGGTCACTTTTACCCAAGGGAGGAAGGTACTGAATGTCAAATATTTCTTCCTCCTTCCTGGTCAATATCAAATCTAGCATGGAGGGAACATCCCCTTCCCTCATCCTCGTAGCTTGTTTAACATGTTGATACAAGAATGTTTCCAGGATGAGGTCTACAAATTTACAGGTCTAAAAATCTTCTGTTTTAGCTTCATATGCTTCCCAGCCTATGGATTTCAAGTTGAAGTCGCCAACTATCAACAGTCGTGATCTATCGTTATCCGCTCTCGCTATGATCTCTCTCATTAATGTTATAAGACCTTCTTGTTTACTATCTAGCTCCTCCTTTGACCATGTGCTGCTTGGCGGTGGACTATATGCATTTATGATCAATAGTTTATCATCCTCATGGCAGATCTCTAGTGCTATTATGTCAACTTCTTGTGGGTTGGCAGTCATTATTTCGTTCACCTTTAGGTGTTCTTTCACCAGCACAGCAACGCCTTTCCTAATTTTTCTGTCCCGTCTCCAAATTGAGTAGCCCCTTGGGAATATGACCTCATTTAAAATAACATCTTCAAGTTTTGTCTCCGTGAGTGCAACAATGTCTGGTGTCTGCATCTGTATTACATCACTTAACTCCAGTATCTTCGATCATACTCTATCTATGTTGGTGTGTGCAATCTTCAGGAACTTGTTCCCCCTCTCTCTAATGATTTTGTTGGTTTACCTTTATGTACCACTTTACTGGTCTGCCTACCCCTATCACTTTGTAGAAAAAAGAATTGATTTCTTCTTCATTCCTGCTCTCATTTAAACGTTTTGCCTCGGCGAGGTTGTTTCAGCTTCTCCCTATCATCTTTTGAAAGATCTCGTCTTAACGACCACACTTTCCCATCCTCATCACTTTGTAATTTTCTAGCATTCCTTAGTACTTATTCCATCTGTTTGGCACCATTTAGGGTGATCCTGAAAGGTCGATCTTTCCCTTTTACATATCTGCCTATTCTCCTGTAGTCTCACACATTCTCTATGGTTGTAAGACCTTCCACGAGGCCAACAATTTTATCTACTAGTTTTGCTTCTTCTACAGCTCTCTGACCTAGATGTTATCTCCTTTTCTTGGCACCCAAAAGTAATCAAAGACTTACTCCGATCAACTGTGTTTTGCACGAACTTCGGGTTAGATGCCAATTCTTTTCTCACTTCCAGCTTAATGTTTATTTTATCTTGGTTGCTGCAGTATTTGACTTCCTATACTGCTTCTTCAATTTTTTCCTTCTCCTTGGCCACTTGTGCATAGGTGAGTTGCATATCTTTCTTGCACTGTTCTATTCCCTGTGTAACTTCCTCCATCTGTGCTGACAAAAGCTGTTTCTCCTGTTGAAATTCCTTACCTAACCTATTGTAGTCATTTATGTTTAAATTTACTTTTATAAATAGCTATGTTAGAAATTAGAGTTTATTTTCTTCTTCCATGGCTTTGCAATTTGTTTCAAATTGATTCTCATCCTTGCACAAGTCTTTCACTAAACCCTCAAGACATACAACTTTGCTATTTAAAGGGTCATTACTTTCTTTCAATTTACTAATTATTTCTGCATGAGAGTTCACTATAGTATCTAATTTTACCAACTTGTTGTATAGACTGGTTATATCAATGCTTTCTTCACTGAATCCAGCAAAATCAAGGTCTGTTTTGTATTTCCTCTTGCCGGTGGCCATCTTGAATGTTCTTCTCTGCACTGGAAACACTAGGGCAACTTTTTCTCATCCAATTTTTCACTTCCCTTAGCACATTCCTGTTATCTCGCCTATTTTTCAAAAGCACTATACCTTTATGTTCTCTGGGACACCACTCACTAACATCATCCTGTACTACAATACTTAGGATTGTTGAAATATGCTGGAACTCCTCTTGTCTGCCTCTTGGGAAAGAACGTACACACACGTGTGTGTGTGTGTGTGTGTGTGTGTGTGTGTATGTATATGTATATATATATATAATATTAATAATTTCAAAAGTCTTACTATGTTCTATTTGTAAGTAAGTCTTTCATTATTATGTTTAATGAAAACAGTTACTGTAAATCTGTTTTCAGGGCAACTTATCCAACATGAATAGAGTTGATGGGCGTGATGATAATCAAGTGTCGCTTGGAATGCGTGGTGAAGGTTCTCCACCAACTCCACGTTCACTGCGACTGGCACCGGGCCCAGCAATGGTTCCACCCACCAGTCTTGTACCTGGGAGCAATAACCTGGGAGGATTGGGCAGTGGACCTCCATCCCAGTTGGTCAACCTGGCAGCATCCTCTGAAGATCTGAGGAGGTACACTCATGTGCCTGACCACTCACCTGCCTCTGCTCTCACGCCTGCTCTCCATCACCACCCCTACTCACCAGGGTACTGTATATGCTGCACCAACACAACCACGCTCCCCAGTATACTCTCAAGCTCACTACCATTTATTTACTTTCTGATACATAAGCCACATGTGTTACAAAAACTTGCCATGGCAAAGGTTATTGTCTGTCAGCCCTGTTAGGTTGCCTTTAGGAGTTTAGCATCATAATTATACGTTTGAATGGTCAACTCTCCAAGAGTTAAGTATACCTTATCAAACCAATGAAATGCTCTAAAAGTATATTGAGAATTAATAATTTTCTTCTGTTTTAAAGCATAAGAATTTGCATCAAAAAGACATTCTTATTAACCCTCAAACCTGCTGTTAAAATGTTGAATAGGTCCTCTGGTGTGCATAACAATTATTTTGTCCCCATTGTTGATAAGCGTGTTTGGAATAACGTACATTGTATGGTATACAATTGTACTCGCCTAGTTGTGCTTGCGGAGGGTGAGCTTCAGCTCTTTGGACCCAATGATAAATACCCAAATGGTACACATTGTTCGTTAGAATAGAATTCATTGTATTCACTGGAGTTTTGAAGCTGACCGATCCTCGTGGCTCCTGTCACCTCTCAACTGTCAGTCAACTGGTGTACAGATTCCTGAACCTACTGAACTCTCATATCTATCAGTATAGTGACATCAAAGTGGAAAATAAATTTGTTTGCATCATTTCACGCACCTAGTATACATTCCATTGCCTCAATCACGAAGTCACAATTGTCTACCAAATGCATATTTAAGTTGTAGTCAAGTGTAACATTTGGTGTATATACATTTCCTTTGGTCCTTAAAGATCAACATTTGCCTTCGTCCTGCCCTTATTGTGCCAAGTGTTCCAGCAAGTAACTGGACAGTGTGGGACTTGTTTAACAATTATCATTGTACAAAATGTGTCCTCTTATTCATAAGTGGTTTTATTAGTTTTTCACTACAGAACCACAAAGTGCTCGTGGGTTGTTCTTTGAAACTTCAATATTGATGTCAAACTACATTATTATATCAATGACAAGTTCAATCTGTTACAAAGGATGAATCATTTGAGGCCAAACATGTGCTACTTTGAGGTGTAGTATAAACGGCTGAAAGGATACTCATCCCTTTAGTAGCACGAGACTAATCACTCGCAGGTTCCTGAGTTGATAATAAAATGATGATTTGTACTTGTTGTTTACCTGGTTAAAGATGTGCCACATTTTTTGCACTCTATCATTTTTTGGCTTTATTGTTATCCTCAAATAATAAACATCTGAGGAATTGCCAGAATCTGATATATTACATGTGCCTGCTAATAAATCCAGGGGCCAGAATGATGATAATTATGAATAACATGTTTCTGTGCATGAAGCATTATTACCGAAACAATCAAAAATATATTTATTTTATTCATACTTGTATGAATAAATACAAGTATAATGGCTCCTACTACTATCCTTTCATCTGATGGAAGTGAGAATGAGGAGATAAATCCTCAGATTGTGCTATGAAATAATCCATTTTGCATATTTTGTCCTGAAAGGAGAATTATCACACCTGATCTGTATCATTGACACCAGTTGCCCACTTGAGAGCAGGTTATGGTGTAGCGTCACTTCCACCACTGCAGTTGTCTAGTGATGCCACTGTCACCATCACCACCACTATCATCAGGGTTGCTAAGTCTGTAACATTTAGTTACTTTCACCAGATTCCATATAGAGTACAATGGCACATTATGTGGTGTAAATCTCCACAAGAATTCCTTTGTATGTGCAGTGTGATGTCACCTCACTTGTCTCGATTAGGTTGTAAACGCTTCTATTTCTGGGTTGTAAAATTTGTCACAGCTTGACAACAATTCCTCTTTATCACTGAGGAACTCTAAAATCTAAGGTGTTGGATGATTGCCAGAGGTCTCTTTAGTAGGATAATGTCATTATAGATCCAGGGAACGTGTACAAATTTTTACATGCTGCCTGAAATCACTTCAGAGCCATTTGAGGACCCCTCTAAATCACTCCAAGGTGATTAGAACAGCTTGAGGGTTAATATATTGTCAACTATAAATACAAATTATGTATTGCAATAGGAAAACCAAGCTTATTTAGCTGACATGATTATGTCTTAGGGTAATATACCACTCATATTGGGCAGCAAATTGTGCAGTCAAGAAAAGACATATTTCAGGTATTGGCACTACAGGGATTGTTCTGATGTTCTGTAAGGTCATATTGGTATTAGCAACAACTGAAGGAAATCAGTCGGCTAAAGTGAGCTATAGAAAGATAACATTTCTCGTGCACTAATCCTTCACAAGACTTCCTTTGGAAACCTAAGATCATCAATGAGTTCTATTACAAACTACTGTTTGGCCCATTCAGCCACCTACCCCCTCCCACCACCTGGTGGCAGCACCTGTTCCACAACACAATCCACTTCACCGAGCCTCGGCACATTATTTATGCGAAAAGAAATCTAGTATCGATTCTAAGGAAATGCCCCTGATGGCCCTTAAGGAGCTTGTAGCTTATGTATAAGTATAACTAATCATTTAGAAGTGGCAGGCCTCCCCAAAAAATGAAATTGCTGGCTTCCTGAGAATCTGGCTCTTTCCATAAATTTGAGAATTATAGATCTTACCACAGCAGTGAGGATACACCAGAAAGGTTTGGCCAAACTAAACAAGCTACTGTTCGAGGCATAAATAAAAAAAAACAAAGAGGCAAACAAGACTAAAGGTCATATGCCATAGGTAATGATAATCTTGATGCACCTGACCACAACCAGATGTCAGTCACCCAAGGTTCCAGTTAGCCATTTCCCCTCACTAATGAGTTGCCTCAACTGAATTCCAAACACCCAGAAGGGAAGAAGGGGTTTAAAGTGGATACAGATAGCTACTGAGGGCCCATTTCATTCATTGCTTAGTCTCAATAACACTACAGAAGAAGAATAGGAAAGCCTTTCTTAAAGGCAGTATGAAATCAGCAGATACTGAGAAAGCAGAAAAGGCCATAGATGATGATGACAAAAGGGGGGGACATCTATTTGCAAAAAACACTCGGGCACCACACGGGTGCTGCGAGGCTGCAGAATATTCACAAGTAGCGAGAAGGCTTATTCCTGTGTATCAGGAAGGAGGAACGTGACTTGAGGCATAAAACAAAATGCATCACAGTCACGATGAGGAGATTACAATGTCTCCCCACATAGAGATAAATCCTGCCACAGGATGTTAATATGACCACTGCCAAGCCCAACTACAGAGCCACACCTGGTTACTCTTCCAAGAAGGTAAATTGAAATTATCCCAAACACGTCAGAACATGCCCTTTCTTCCCTAACCTGAAAGATGAAGAAACATACTGGTCATGTCAAAGATTTATTGTCCCCATGCAAATCCCTTTGGAATGAATGAATGAATGCAATACAACCAGCTTAAATTTCCATACCAACCAGTGTTTCTATGAGAGCCCTTCAACCTCTTTAAGTCATGCTCCATAGCCAGAGTGACCAGCAAGGTAAACCACACTTAACATTTCCTGTTGTGAATCTTCAACTCCTAGGTCAAGTCAAATAACATTTACTAGCAAAACACTCAAGTGCTAGTAATTGTGGCCTTCAGCAACAGTTTGTGAGTGAAAGTGTCTGCAGCTTGGCAGTAGTTGTGAATGTAGCCTGCCGAGAAGGGTCCTACAGAGTCCTCGCACAGACTCCACAGCTACTATACACAAACTGTCTGAAACTCATTAATGAAAACAATTGTAAACCCAAAGGGGAGTGTAGAACACAAGAGAGGGTGACCATCAGACTCAAAATGCAGTATGGCATCCCATTTGGTACTCTTCCAGGCTGCACCTGTATTAAGTTATAGATTCTTATAAAGCTGCAACATAAGTGTACTGCTCTTTATTCACAGTAATACAGATTTTATAGAGACCAGTAACAGGGCACCATGTTAGCTGCCTCTATCTGTATTTGAGCACACAATTCTGGCAGCTATGGCAAGAGCTATCAACATTTCTCAACTGAAAAGTGTAACTCTTGCCAACCCAAAGTTGAGAGAAGTCCTGAGGTCTAATAAAGACATAATATGGTCAAAAATCAAACAACTTCCATTTACACTCAACAGGGAGAGAAATGGCTGGAGTCACCACTACCCAACTCCAATTATCAATGTAGTAGGTAAAGCTAGCAAAGTACCTTTCAAAAATAGTGCACACTCTGTGCTCAATAGTAGTCTACTGTCGAGTACTGAAAGTTGTGAATAGACGAGCAAAAAATCAGAGAACACACCATGATTTGTAAACACAGACACATGAAAGGATAATATTCCATGTAATTATTAATCCAATGTGCAAACAGTTTCAGTGGATAAACAAATTATTTTGATCTTGTCCTTTACCAGCCACTCCAACATGAATGACAGGCGGAGTATGATGAGGCTCAATGAAGTGGAACATGATTTGTATCAGACACTGCCACCTGGTGGGAGGTTGTGTAGGTGGCTGAATAAGCCAGTTAGTTGTTCATTAGGTCACACTTAGGTGATCTAATGCTTCCAACGAGGGCTTGTAAAAACTTTGATTGTGTGTGGAATTAGAACTTTGAACTGCTCACTTTATTTGGATAATCTCTAGCACTCTCTAGTGCCATTATGACCCTGCTAGAATGTCTGAAAAGTTCCTTGCAGGTCCAATACCTTGAATGTCACCCCTGTCTAATTACATGGTTTGCTCCCTATATGGCACCTAAATGTTACTTAGTGTGGTAGCTCAGAAAAAGAATAAATCTTGTCATATAAGATGGCGATGAGAGTGGACCTGTAATAAAGGAGCAACATTTTTAAAGGAGCTTTCACTAAAATATTGAAAGCCTAAGTAAATGTTTAATTCTTGGTATTAATTTTTGTATGCCAAAAACAAAAATATTTGAAAATTAATTGATGCTAAGACTGTAGAGTATTAAAAGAGCATACAGTAGTTGCAAAGTGTGTAGGTAATGAAAATACATTCTGT